GGTTTTAATGTCGGACTGAATATATAATGTCCTCCACCAAGCCAATCAACTAAAGATGAACATGGTGAAACCATATGAGTACTGCAACTCCTCATAAGCCCATTTGTCCGAAAGGTACGTAATACATGCTGTTCCCATTGAGAAGCAGGAAATACGAATTCCAGAAAACCAAGCATTTGGATTATCAAATTATGAAGCATGATATATGGCTCTTCCAAAATGAAGAATACAAAGAGAAAGACAAATCATACACCATTTGACTGAAGATAACGCAAACACCATCAATTCATATATTTCTCGAACTAAAAAGAAAAGAGAAAAATGCTGAATTAATAATTTGTGTATAATGTAAACCTATTGAAATTCCGGTACTAATTGTTAATGAAAAAGGGTAATTCCTAACAACAAACCAATAGCTTGTCGACTGTTGAGGATCCAGGGTCCTCACAGAGGGCACCAGCGACCAGAAGCCCTACATAAAGCCATATGTACTTCTCACAACACCCCCCAGTCCCCCAAAACAGTAGGTGGCGGACGCCATGCTGATGGACGTAAGTCGGCGGCGGCCTGTGTGGCTTCTTGCGACTGCAGTACAGCTCGGTCTCAGGAGGGCCGATTCATGCGCTTTAAGCTTTAGGGTTTCAGGGCTTCATGGTTAGGGTATCTTGGGTCCTTGGGCTCTCGAACTTTAAACCTTTCTAGTAGGATGTGAAATCCAACGCGAAACCCTAGCTTGTACAGCCTGGCGCTCGCTTGGCTCTTCTGGAACAAATGCCCATTGCGAAGCCTGAAAAACCAGCCCACCCTCCGCCAAACAAAGTGATGCTTCGACCACGAAAGACCCCTGTAGCCCCGCGGGTAAACTGCAAAGATATCTGCAAAGATCCCACGCCATGTCGAGCCCCGATCTTACTGCATCTTGGCTCTGAACAAGCCTAAGAACCATAAGCCTGCACCCCCAAGGTGCCAACACCAGAACCACTCAACACCCGAAACCCCGACCACCGCCCGAACCGTGGCCTCCCAGCAGATCACCGAGGGACAGGGGGGGCTTCTGCGAGCCCAAGTCTCCGGGGAAAGCACGCTCCAGCCAAGCTCCGTGGCTGGGAGCTGCAGGGACTGCGATTTCTTTTTGTGGGGATGTTGGGTACAGAGGCTTCAAGGACTTGGCTGTGAATGCGAGCACAAAACTGGCACAGAAGCAGCCAATCCGATTTGGGTGAACAACCCAGAACACCGACCAAGCATTTCAGAAAGCGCAAGTCGGCCTTACCAGGATGGGCTATTCTACCCTCTAATCCCTTAAAAAAGCCCTTTATAGGGTTCATTATGGGGATTTTAGGGCGTAGCAGCCCATCCTGGCAAGGGCAAACGTGAAGATCTACGCAGGAGGCTGGATGCTGTCTTGCGTGACATCCTGATGCAAGTTGGCGGCTTCGTAAGACCTTTGGAAAGGCAAAGAAAAAAAACAACCTAAACCCTAAACCCTAAACCCTAAACCCTGAACCCTACCAAGCACAGTCGAAGAGTAAACGCTTCAGTGCTGGGTTGGCCAGGGGCCTTCTCACTGGGCGTCTATAGAGTGGCACATGATGTTCGATTGTCGCTACCATCTACATTCAATTAATACCCCCTAAACCCAAAACCCTAAACCCGAAAATGGCACTTGGCCCCTAGAGAGGTCGAATGTATGGGACCTGCAGTCTAGCACGAAGAAAGTGTCAGGGAATCATCTTTTCATGCATGATGGAGCTCACAAAAAGCCACGTTCCTTCAAGCCGACTTCTGCTTCGCAGAGCGACTGAGGTGGCTGGTCCCATATCGGGCAGTTGCGCCCGCAGATCCTTGGAGCTCCCCTCACTCATGATATCCCATAAACTATCTCTTTTCGGTAGCTGCCGGGGACGACCACTTCTTCGTCCCACCCTTGGATGCGGGCAAGCCCCAACACTCCGGAAAGCAGGATGCCTGCTGTATCTGCTGTCGAAGCAGCACAGAGACACTCTGAAGCATGGCAGTCTTCCCTACGGTGCCAAGCTACGGCCTCGTGCCAGAACATCTCCAGCCAGAGCCAGCGGGAAAATGCCCAAGAAGCCTGGCTGCAAGCTCGGGCACGGAGCAAGGCCCGGTGGTGCTACTGTTTTTAGGAGGAACAAGCTTACACTCGAGAATGGTTCAGTTTGGAGTTAGAGAGCTTTAGGTTGCTGTAAGGGCCAGGGTGCCTAGGCCGACTCCGTGTCTGCACCGCGCGGAACAGTACCAGATCGCTTTTACCAGATGTGCTTCCTTGAGTTTGACATCGGAAAGGCCCCAAGGCCCCAGAGCCATCCGCGCGGTACCAGAAACGCTGCACTTAAGAAGAGGATCATTCTTTCTGCTGGCGATTTCCTACAGGTGCTGAAGACTGTAAGAAGCGGCGATGCAACTTGCATAAACGCTTTCAAGTAGATTCAAGCTTGTACGTAAATCGACGAGGGTAGTTGCTAAGCTATGCCTCGCTCGGATCTCACCATGCGCCCCCCCTGCCACGAGGACCCGGCCGTCGTCATCCTTCGCATCCTGGCATGCTCAACGTTGGTCCCCGGCACCCGAGTGAAAGGCAAAGAGAGAGCCAGAGCAAAGCCTGATGCGGGGCCCCCTCTTGCAGAAAACGCCGTGGGACCCCGCTGTTGTCCCCATCCCTCTTCCCGCTTCCCAGGCTTCCCAATTTTTAAAACTCCCAGCAGCAAAACTCCTCCGCAAGTTGCCGAAGGGGGGGCGGGGGGTCTCGCCTTGGAGGCGCCCGGGCCGCCATGATTGCAGAAAGGTCATGCCTCGGCTTTCGGGGGAAGAACTTCTGAGACGCTAGAGTTCCTAAATGCGTTATGTTTTGACATGTCTATAAGAGATGCGTCTTGACATGCATCGCGTTGTAACTCGTAAGCTTAAACTCTGAGATGCATCGAATTCCGGGTTCCCTGGCTTAAGCTGCAAAACGGCTCCTAGTCTTTCTGTGCATCGACTCCTCAACAGCCTCGGCATATGGGAGCCCCATATTCGCCGTAGTATTCACTCCAAGCCTGCCCTCCAACATGCCTGGCAGCCCTCCGAACTTTCCAGGGATCAGTCAGGCTGGCGCTGTTTCAGGGTCTGCATCAGGGGCCCTGGCACCAAAATATCGGATCACCCCAGTCCTGGCAGGCATGAAGAGCTCGACTGGATGCCGCAAGATGAGGGGCTCCAAGAAAACAACCTTACACCCTAAACCCTAAACCCTATAACCTTAAACCCTAAACCCTAAACCCTATAACCTTAAACCCTGAACCCTAAACCCTATGTTTCATGCACACCCCACGGACTTCCAGGATGCGCAGGTGAGCAAAGATGATGGAAGGCTCAGCTCAAGCCCCCACAAAGGCCTGAGCTCCCCGAAGCACGTGCCCCCCCCCCCAGCTTCAAGAGCTGCGACCCTCCCCAAACCATCTTAGGCCAGCAAAGCCGGAAGTCTTAAGTACAGAAATGCACACATTGCGGAGCCTTCGGCGCGCCCTGGGCCAAGAGCGTCCCAAGGGACTTCGGGTCTCGCCGAGCCTTCCGGCTGCGTTGGGTTGGGATGCTGTGCGAAAGAAAACTCTCAGAGTCGAACATACATGAGTACTTATAAAGCAGGGAACGGAGTGCCTAGACCCGTGCCCTCAACCCTACATGTGCCTGAAACCCTGCCTCACCGTTCAAACCTACATAAGGTATTAACCATGCATCAGCGTTCAGCCCTACACAACCCCCCAACACTGCGTAAACCCTAAGCCCGACGTAACTCGTCAAGTAACAAACCTTTACGTCCTGACCCAACGACCCTGAACCTTGAACCACTCACAACGACATGCACGCAGTAAATAAACAAACGTCCACATCTCAGGATAACTTCTTCCATCGAACAGTGCCCACGACAACCCACCCAACATCATTCAACCATGTAAGTCATGTAAGCTCTTCAAGCCCTTCCAACTTCGAACTTTGGTAGGCTTGGCGCCCTCCAAGGCCCGAACAGCTTCTGCGATCACGATCATGGCCACAATCTCGGTTCCGCCTGGAAAGAAAGGTACTAACCCTTATACCTTAAACCTACAACCTCTAAGCCCGGAGCCCTTATGCCCAAGGCCCTCGGCGCCGAAACCCTAAACCGTAAGCACCAAACCCCCTAAGCCTCATCTTCCCCAACCCTGATCTCTGCTTTTCGAATCCTTCTTCCGTCTCTGTCCTTCTTGTAAACCGGCGAACCCTCACAGCATCGCAAAGCTAACGCCTGGATGTGAGTTGTGATGTGAGTTGTTTGAAAATCCTGCTGCCTGCAAACATCATGATTCTCTCTCTTAGCAAAAAACGAAACAACAGCAAGCACGGCTAGACATGGTGGAAACAATAGCAACGTTGGCAGCAGGAGTGGCAACAACAACAGCTAAGTGCGGCTGGCAATGTACGCAGATTGCCTGGGGGCCTGCACTGGACAGGTTCTCGAGAAGATGGCTTGGCCAACTTCTACAAAGCCCTTCGGGCCCTTCGTTAGAGGGCATGCTAGTTCTGTGGGGCGATCAAGACACAGGGACGGGAAGGGAAGTGCTAAAACGGCGATAGAGCAATGCTGGGCAGGCCGTAGCCTGATCAACAATAGCCAGTAACATATCCAACATTACATAGGGGCCTTGATGGTGAGAATAAGGTGTTGGGGGTTATTATCGTATATTTATAAAGGGAGCCTAAAGAAATACTATTCGTAATTATTCCGACCCCTATATTACCCAACCAGGCATTTGTCATAGACCTAATCACATTCTCTTCCACGGCCCCGCAACGCCCTTGCCACAGGAGCGAATTTCTTTACTAAGATGCCACAGGCGAGGCCCTTCAGGGCCTGCCGATGCCAAGCTTCAAAACACCGCATGAGGCACTGAGACTCATGCATCCGTTCCTTGCCTTCTGTATGCCTTCATTGTGACACTGCAATTATGAATATGATGAATCTACATTGAGAAAGTGTTGTCATCATCATCCCTGCTTTGAGTGGAAGCCGAGCAATGTGATGGCTCTAGGGATGGATCCGGTCTCTGGATGTGCCAGACGAAGGCCGTGAGTGCTGCGCCAGCCAAGAAGATGATCACCTTAGCCCAGGAACCATATGAAGTAGGGTTTATACTTCTTGTACCCTCAAAAGGACACCCCCATACATACACTCACCAATATTAAAAAGGAACCTTCTAAACACTCACCAATAACAGTAATGTAAACCCTACTTCATATGATTAAAAGGGTAGTCTGTTTTGGGGTTGGCTGCTTTAAATAAGGGAACCCAGAACCGAAAGAACCCCTGGGCTACCAAGTCACTGGCAGAGGATTGTCTTCGCTTGTCACTGCTAGGCTGATTCCCAGGGGCAGCCACAATGAGCAAACACCAAGAAAAGAGAGCGGCGTGACAATGAAGACGGCCAACCAGCGAGAGGACAAGCGCTTCTCGATCAGGGAGCCTAAAGTCCAGAGCCAAATACAGACCCTCAGCGCAAAGAGCAGGGCCAAGCCGACAATGCCCCATGTGACAAAGTGTCTCAAGGTCCAGATAGAGATGACAGGACGCTGGTCAATGGTCTCGGCCCACAGCGCGATGAAGTCTGCCAGCCAAGGAACTATGCAAAAGACGGCCGTGTAGACAACATATTGAAACGGCAAGCCGATTCCCATTCCGTTCGCAATCTTGGGGGCCACACGCTGGCGGACCGATGCGTTGAACCTCTCCAAGTGCGGATCAGGCCCGTCTTCTTTTGCAGCCACCCACCAATCTTGGATGGCCTCGTACACGAGCTGGCGATCACAGGGGAGTGGCTCACTGCTGCGAGGGTGCACGTGTGAGTGACTGCAACAGTAGCACTTCGAATCCTGGACACGGAAGCTATGGAGTTGCCTTGGTACCTCTTGAAGCTCAGAAACCAGCCCTATGCCAACGTAGAAGGACAGCGGAACAAGCAGAGAACAGAAACCCAACATGGCCGCTGTCATGGTCAACCCGCTGACCGCGTCGGCGTCTTCTCCCCAGGTGCTAAGAACACCATACCGGATCAGAGAGAAGTAGTAGCTTGCCAGCAAGTGCCAGCACCCAGCCACCATCAGCAGCAGTAGGGTTGTCTTCTGTGGAATGATACGGAGTCTTTTCAAGGAGGCCTTATCTCGTAAGAATGTTGAGATCTCGAAAACGCACCAGAGGCGCGACCTTGGTCCATGCTAGGAGGGAAGGAAGGAGGAAGTGGTACTAGCATGGCTACGTTTTAGAATGTTGGGAGACCCAAAGAACAAAAAACAAAAAGGATCCCTGACTTTGACCGAGTGACAGGTACTGAGGGCTGAGCAGCACGACCAGTTCCCGGGAGCTCAGAAGGAAGGCACCAAGGCTCTGAATGCCCTCCTGCTTCAAATCCTCGTCGTGCTGCGCCACGCAAAGCTTGTCCAAGAAGACGACGAGGGGTCGGCATAAGATGGCCCGTATGCGCTGCCAGAACAAAAAGATAGTAAAGTAGACCACGTAGATAACCGACAATGTCCATGCCTGGTCTGGGATCACTCGATATGCTCGCAGTGTGCCCACCAACACGCTCACCAGGAATGAGATGGCGAAGGCAGGTCCTGAGTTGAAAATCATGAGCAAGGATACGAACTTCAGCCAGCGGGATGAGGCCCAGTCGTGGCTCAGGAATGCGTCGTAGGCTTTCGTGGGCCGACTGAGCTGGTAGTTCTTGGGGTTCACATTGAACATGCCTTGATCAGGGGCCCTCCAATGTCGGCCCCAGTTGGACAAAGCCACGTGTAACGGGACCCCGCGAAGCAGCTCGGGTCGCACCTCAGTCCGAAGTGATCTCCGCTGTCCCACGGACGCAGTTGAACTTAGTGTGGGCTGCGCAGTGACAGCATCTTCTTCCATGGCGCTCACGAACCACGAAGATCTTGAAATGAGCTTCTCCAAAGCCCCTTCCTTACCTTTACCCTTAGAGAACAATCCGGCCTTCATGGCTAGATTAGAGGTTTCCGTAGGTCTGCCCATCTCAACTCTGGATCTGTGCATGCCGCCATGGTGGTAAAGCAATCTTCGATTCAGAATCACATCTATGTCGATTAGATACTCATAGGTAGCCTGATAGAGACCGACCTGAAAATTGACTGCTGCGATCACAGAGACCTGCTCTATACAAGACTGCAACGATACTTTGACTCGCAAGCGTACCCAGAGCACATTAAAGGACCAGGCTTGCCGGGCTTGCAGTTGACGCAGGTGTCGTCGTGCCAGTGTGGCCTCTGCTTGATTCGGCTTCACATTTTGGGCTCGGGCGGAGGTCTCTGCGGGTGTGCAGGCACTATCTTGCCCAGCGAGCCCGCCAGGTCTGTGTGCAGAACTCTGAACTGGGGGATTTTTCGGGCAAGGCACCATGCGGTACCAAAGCTCCTTCATCTGCTCGTACAGAGGCGGGTCCGTCTCATCTGGGCGACAACATGAACTCAATTTGGTGACATAGCCTAGCGATTCAAAAGTTTATCGTTCGCAGAACTTGCAGAGCAGATACAGCAGCTTAGAATTTAACATTGCTGCAGGAAGGCCCAATCTCATATCCACTATACTCCCCTTAGAACCAATGACATTTGGCACAGTACCGCCTTGGGATTTAGCAGAAACAAGAAAGACAGAACGCCCATGCAGACTCTACAATCTCAACTGAGTGCATTCGGCTTTCCCGGCCGTCTTGCAAGGTTTCCGGTTCTGCAAGGGGTCTACCAAAAAACCGAAAAGCCCCTCAGGATAGACCCTAAACCGTAAGCCCCTTTATGATAGACCCTAAACCGTTACATACGCCCCAAATGAGAGTAGAACAAAACAAAATCCAAGCTCTCCACCTCTTGGACGAAGCATTAGCTTAGCCCCCTCTATTCAACGGGCATATCCCTACACAAAAAGTAAGCAAACGAACCCCCTAACAGAGAAAGTCAGGTCAAGACAGATAATCCCCCCCCCCCCCCGGGCAGAATCAGAACATATGAAGCAGGGTATATATTTCTTGTACCCCCAAAAGGACACCAGGCATATGCACTCACCAATATTAAAAAGAAACCTGATGTACACTCACCAATAACTGTAGCATAAACCCTGCTTCATATGAGGTCCAGCACGATCTTGCACGCCAAGCTTCCTTCACAGGTGAAGAAGAGACGCAGAACCTCGAGATCTTGCAAGAGCTTATAAGACTATGTAGGCTTCAGGGCTTCAACACGCGAACTGCGCTGTATACAGCCCAACGCGGCCCACAACGTGAGGGCACAACCGCTGAAGACTGCTGAAATGGGCCTTCAAAGGGATGCTCTGAAGGCCTGGAAGACCCTAAACCCTAAACCCTAAACCCTAAACCCTAAACCCTAAACCCCCCTCCCCCCCTCCCCCCCATCACTCCTCACATGTCTCGAGGCAGACAAGACGAGCATGGAGGGCCAGGCAGCCGCAACTGCATCCTTCGCGACAGCACCAAGGCAAGAGCAGGAATCTTGATCTTTCGTTGGTTTTGGTTTAAGTTTAGGGCATGAGTTTTTTTTGGGAGGTTGGCTTTAAGGCTGCGCAGGGTTGAGCGGGTTCGTGGCCGATAATACCGGCCCTCCAGAGTTTCATGCTGCAACCGCCTCAGGGCTCCAAGAAGGGCTCCTCCAGATGTCGAGCCCATTCTTTGCAGGATTTAGGGTTTAGGGTTTAGGGTTTAGGGCCTGCAGACCCCAAGCCCGGGGCCTTGTCCTGAAACCCCAAACACTATCAGCCCCAAACCCACCCACCCACACAAGCTCACACTTCCACTTCTGAAAGGGCCCCTGCATGAGCCCCGACACCCCAGAACCCCTCAAACCCTGAACCCTCAAACCCTGAACCCTCAAACCCCTGAACCCTAAACCCTGCGTTGTCTTTGCACGGCTGGCTCCTGGATGAGCCCTTCAGCCTGCAATCCGACAACGCAATCCTCCAGCTTGCCAGGCTCCTGCGTACCTGAACAGGGCCCAGCGAACCAGCAAAGCAAACCCTTAAACCTCCACCCCAACCCGAAACGGCCCTCACTGATACGGGCTTGCAGATGTGCTTATCTCGGTCGCCTTCATGACAACCCTCGGCCTGCAGCGACATCCTCAAGCTCTAAACCCAAAACTTCAAGCAAGGCTACCAGTGATGCCCCGCAGGCCCAGCCCACCTCAGGCAAATCCACATCTTCCATGAAGCTGCAGGATTGCACGCCATGGCGTCGGCATGAGGCAAAGGGAGCAGGAGTTGGCGTGCGCCTTCGTGTACAGCAGTTTCTGTGCCGTTGTACCTCTGGGGCCAAGCTTAATGGTGTCCAAGTGCGCCACCTGCTCAGCTGTGCCAAGGCAAAAGTTGCAAGAACATCTCTTCTTCTGTGGCGGCAGCAGCAGTGCTGCGAGCAGGTGAACAGAGCGCACGTCACGCATCTGATCTCCAGATGGCCTACCCGAAGCTCATGCCCAAACACAGCTAGGGCTTGAGGTCTGTCATCGACCAGCTCTCTGTATACTAGTAAAAACCTCTACCCTCCTTTTCGGCAGTGGTTCAGAGCGGAGCCGGTCTCATCCGAAGCGTTTCGAGGGCGCATTTCTCGGGCGAAGCGTCCACACACCTCAATTAGAAGTCAAGAGTCCTGTCGCAGTCCTGCTATCCACAGCTACAACAGTTTGACGAAACACACAGACCCTGAACCCTGAAATGATCAGTCCCCAAGTTGTCGGCCCCTCTCAAGCAATAAGCACCCGGCTAACTGTAGGTTTAGGGTTTAGGGTTTAGGGTTTAGGGTTTAGGGTTTAGGGTTTAGGGTTTAGGGTCCGGGACCCATTTTTGTCATGCTCCGCTGACGATGTCGCAGGCGGACTCCGGGACAAGCGGCAGACGTTCAAAGTTCCACATAGGGTTCCAGGCTGAGGGCCGCTCAGGGGGTTTAGGGTTTAGGGTTTAGGGTTTAGGCTCTACTGCGTGTCTCTGGAAGCTTCGGTATGCCATTTGTCCCAGGAGCCATCTCGACTTGGTGTCGGTAGCACCAGGCACAAGTCGATGTGCTTCGCAGAGTGGATCCAAGTTCCGAGTCTTGAACTTGCCCTAAACCCTACAAGCCCTAACCCTAAACCCTAAACCCTAAACCCTAAACCCTAAACCCTAAACCCTGAAGCCTGAAGCCTGAAGCCTGAAGCCTGCAGGTTCAGGGCTTGGGGTCTGACATCAGGCTTGAAGGGGAGCCTTCCTTATTCAAGATATGGGGGCTTCTATCCCAAAATGTAGTAGAATCCCCTTCCAACGGAACACCAGAAGGGGGCCGGGTTTAGGGTTTAGGGTTTAGGGTTTAGGGTTTAGGGTTTAGGGTCTTTGGTAACCCTAGGCCAAAAAAGGGGCCGGTATCAGATGATGTGCAGAAGTGTCACGCAACCATTCGGGTCGAACTGGCGAGGCATTAATTACGTGCCACCGGAGAAAGCAAGAGCTTGGATTGCTCAAAGGTCTAGGGTTTTGGGCTTGGGGCACCCTCGAAGAGCCTAGAATTAAGACCCGAAGTAAGAAGGAATGCTTGCGACCTGTTTAGGGTGGGGGTACCCTAAACCCTAAACCCTAAACCCTAAACCCTAAACCCTTTCTGGAATTTCTGAAAGAACCTTCAACATGCCGGGCTGGCTTAACTTTCGAACGCCTCAGATGAGTTTAGGGGCTTGGTGTAGAACCGCCCCTGTTCGGGGGCGGGTTCATGAACAAGGAGCTCTAAGGACCAAAGGCAAACCACCAGGGGACCCAAACATGTGAAAAAAAGCACGCAAGGTTCCTCGAAGTAAAGGGCCTTGCAACAACTAGGTATCCACTGGGTTTTGCTTTGAGGGAGATTAGAAGGTATCCTAAACCTTTACAAAAAGGGGACAGGGGCACACATTTTTGGGCGCCTAATCCAGGGCATCACGTGACCATCAGAACCTGGCAAACCCGATCTGCACAATCGACGCGCGGACACTGCCAGCTCTCCTCCCCAAAGAGGTCCAAGAGGCCGAAAGGAACACGACAATTCTCCAAGTACTATTTATTCCAAGAGAGTCTAGGGTTTAGGGTGTAAAAGTCCATGTGCTGTAGGGGCTTCATATGAGGGCCCAAGTACACCTAAGACATCCCGAATTGGACCACCCTGGTGAGCAAAGTGGCGCTAAGTTCAGGCAAAGAGCCTGGCTGGGGGAGAGGTTGAGGGAGAACTTTGGGGAGATGGGGGAGGGGGAGGGGCGGAGAGGGAGGGGGAGGGGGAGGGGGGAGGGGGAGGGGGGGGGAGGGGGGGAGGGGAGGGGGGCGGGGAAAACCCCGGAACCCTTTAAGCCTAAGGGCTTCAAGCTGGGAATGTCGCAGGTCTGGCGCTCAGCATCTTAGGGTTTAGCTTTCTCTGGGGGTAAGTATGTCCACTACCTTTCTGCATACGATGTTCTGTACTGAGAAACTCTAAGTTACTTAACTGAATTTAAGTTCAGCAAGGGCGAAGTGGCGGTTTAGGGTCTATGGGGCTTAGGGTCTCAGCTAGAACCCCAAGCACTCCAAGCCCAACCCTGAACCCTGAACCCCCAATTGGTAGGACTCTGGGAACACCGTGCTCACACTCACACAACATCCGAAGACTTGCACAACCACTTCAGACCCGTCCGCCCTACCGGGACCACGCAGGCAGCCCTTACGGTCTTCGAGCTTGGATGATTTAGTTGAAGCCCCAAATGCCCTTAACCACGGCCTCTCTCTCTCTCTCTCCCTTCCTCTCTGAGCCTAGCTAAGCCTCGAAGCACTCAAGGCCCAGAAACGTTTGGGATGCGGTTTTAGGGCTTATAGGGAAGCCTTTGCCGGTCCGCGCCTCAGATGAAGGCCACCTCGGACAGCCC